TGTGTGTGGTCTCGCATTGTCACAATGGAACACAACTCCTTTACAATTAACAAGCTCTTTACATTTCTGGATGATGGATTCATTCAAACTGTCCAATTGCCTACAGTACACATTCGAATTGATTGTTTGGTTCCTTGGTAGGAGCTCAAAAAACACGACACCTTTAAAATCTCACCACACTGAGAGCATAACCTTCCTCTGATGAGTGCCTGCTTTCGATATCCTTTGAGGCGAATCATTACGTCGGGACCAAGACCATTTGCACACCACATTGTTGTAAACAATCCACTTCTCATCACCAGTTATCAGTCGCTTCAAAACAGGATCGTTTTCCTCATGTTTAATGAGCATATTGCAGATGTTTATATGCACTGTCAAATGAACTTCTTTAAGTTTATGTGGAACCCAAATATCAAGCTTGCTTACATATCCCAGCTTCTTCAGGTGGTCGTGAATGCTTGAATGATGGATGTTCAATATTTCTGCAATCTCTGGTGTTGTGTAACATGGGTTTGACTCGATCAATGCTTTTATTTTGTCGTCATCAACCTTGGTGGGCCTCCCTGACCGAGGAGGGTCATTGAGATCAAAATCACCAGCACGGGATTTCGTGAACCATTGTTGGCACTGACAGTCTTGTAGAACATTGCCACCGTAAACTTCATGAACTTTTCACAAGCTTGACATGTGTTCTTCCCTTTATGGAAGTAAAACAGTAAAATATGGCAAAAATGCACAGTTTGGTTCTATCTTCAACTTGTTATAAAATCTCCAAAACTCAACCAAATTGCTCGATTTTTTTTTAGAATGAAGCTAGAACTGTCAGCTGTCAAATGACATAGGAAAAACATAAATGCGAATGACTCTCGTACTTCCAAAAATGAACTAAGTATCATCTGTCACAAACATGCGTCATGACTTTTCCGACAACCCAATAATAATCGTCATGGGGCCAGCAATGTAGTTCTGTTTTCCTCCATTCGTCATGGTAGCTGGGTTGGAAAAGACATCACCTGACCTGATGTGAGGAGCCAGATTTGTTTCAGGCTTTTAGTATCCAAATTTTCCAATGTTGTGGAATGTTCTTGTGAAACTTAGAAAACTATTTATGGATCTTAGTGCACTTCTGTCTTTCTGTGTTTCTTGAATATGGAAGGAAGCAAGTAGGTCAGGCTACTTCAGGAAGTTGTGGCTGGAAGTTGCCTTGTGATTTTAGGTGTGGTCCATTGATAATGATGCTTAGAAACTTATACAGGATGGTTGAGGCCAGATTCTTCTTGGCAATGCAGAGCAAACACATGCCTTGTTCACTGGGTATTGAGCTTTTTGAGAAAATGACTGTCATACATATATACAGCATATGCTCAATAATGTTGTTTTTAAAATGTAGCTCTTTAGATATGTTAAGTTTATTTCAAGACCCTAAAATAGAACAATTCCATCCTAAAGAATAGAACTATGTTGCTCAGGAGATGACACCAAAGAACCTTTCAGGAGAACTTTCCTTTTTCTTTTTCACTGAGTATTTCTATTTGAAGCATCCCCACCTAAGATAATGAGATTGCTATTATTCATGCATAATGTTACCCAACCTGAGGACCTTGAGTCAGTATCTGGCTCTGTTCCCCTGTTCCCCTATCTGTGTCTGCTCTGCTCTCTCTGGGATGGGGGTGCTAGTGAAATGCAGGATTCAACAATCTCAGAGTTCTTTTTCAGTGGCTAAACCTTAATTCTGGGTGTACCCAGATCACATTCTGGAGGTGAACCTGATTTGGCCTGTCATTAGGTTCAGATAC